TATACACTTTTCTTCAGGGAAGGGCAGACTTATTTAAATAAATAATCTAAATCGACAACAATTAAGAAATGGGCGTTTGGTCTAGTGGTATGATTCTTGCATTGGTTGCGAGAAGTCCCTAGTTCGATTTTTGGAACGCCCCTTGTTTTGTTATTTTTCTTACCTTCACACCTTTTACTATATATTTTATTTTGCATCTATTACTTTTTTTTTCTTTTAATCGAAGTTATCAACAAACACAATTATCCAAATCCTGTTTTATACAGTGAAGCTATAGATATTACATGGTGACTCTTTGTATATATGTATACAACCTCTTTAAGAGAGCTTGCCAAGTTTTAGCACAACATATGGAAACATTCCAAATCCATTAAATTGAATTCTTGGCTACCATTATCATCACAAGTATATACAGAAGAATTCTCAAGTTTCAGAATTGAACGTTGGGGTCTTAGGCGCCATCAGAGACCCACATATCTTCGATTCCTTCAGCCCACATTCCCCATTTCCATCTCACACTCGGATTATTCATCGTGAACGCAGAGATCAGCAAGGTTCTTACGCTAGGATCTGTGTTCTGGTGAATCATCAGTCTCATCTCTGTCAAACTTGTGCAGGTACTGAGTATAGATACGATGAAAGAAACTGTTTGATGAACACTGGTGTGATCCAGCATCTGAACACGCGCTGTTATTTGCTTCAGGGTATCTGCTCCCTTCATACGTACTAGTCCTTTGCTTTGGAAATGGGTTTGGATGTTTGACCAAGTCACGGGACTCAAACTAAGAGAAATGATGCCAGGGAATGCTTCGAGGAGTGTTCCCAGTCCAAGTTTGAGCCTTTCCGATTCTTCTATGGACTTGACTGAATCCATTGCAAGCTTTCTTATCTTGTTGCCAAAATGGGTCTTGCTGATTAGCCTGAACATGTCAGGAGATATGAGCTCTAAACTATTCAGATCTTGAAACTCTGCAAAACTCACACCATTCGTGTTCTCTACAGAAAGATGGAATTTCACCAATCTGGGTGTTTCAAGGAGAAGAGATTTGGGTTTGCTGCATTTTAGCTCGAGTTCAAGGAGGTTTGGCGCCACTATAGCCAAGGAAAGTGGAGCATTCGACACCGTCCAATGGCAACTCTTTAGATGCAGAAAATGGATTCTCGGTTCCTTGAGTCCCCCAACGCCAATCAAATTTAGCACTTGAAGAAAAGAGAAACAATCACTAATCTTCTCTAGATTCTCATCATCGAGTCGGATGAATTCGAGGGTAAGATGTCTGAGATTAGGCATCTGCGTCAGGCCAACAACTGAGAGCCAAGCATTCTTCAACTCCAGTTTTACTAACTTACTACCTGCAAGAGAAAATATAGATACAATGACCCCAAATTATTTCCTGTAACTACTTCAAATACATAGA